CAGTTTCCCCAGCTCTCAGCCTCGGGGGATCCCCACGCCGCCACTTGCTCTCCCCTTGCCCGCTGCGGAGCCTCTCTGTCCCCCAGCCCCTGGTGACACCCCCCCTGCCCGGCCCTGCGTGGTGGGGGGCACGCGTGAGTGACACGGTGGGTTGTGCAGCTGAGCCTTGACGTAAAATACACGGTTTTCTACCAATGCATAGAATAGCTTGGGTGGGAAGGGACCTTTAAAGGCCACCCAGTCCAACCCCCTGCCATGAGCAGGGACACCTTCAACCAGACCAGGTCGCTCAGAGCCCCGTCTGACCTGACTTTGAACGTCTCCAGGGATGGGGCATCTCCCACCTCTCTGCACAACCTCTTTCCAATGTTTCACCACCCTCATTTTAGAAAATTTCTTCCCTATATCCAGGCTGAATCTCCCCTCTTTTAGTTTAAAACTATCACCCCTTGTCCCATCGCAACAGGCACTGCTAAACAGCCTGTCCCCATCTTTCTCTTCTCATGAGCCTCCTTTAAGCACTGGCAGCTGCTCTGAGGTCTCCCCGCAGCCTTCTCTGCCCCAGGCTGAGCAGCCCCAGCTCTCCCAGCCTTTCCTCCCAGCAGAGGGGTTCCAGCCCTCACATCATTGCTGGGGCTTCCTCCTTCCCCGCTCCCACAGCTCCAGATCTGCCCTGTGCTGAGGGCTCCAGAGCTGGATGCAGTGCGTGCCCGGGGGCTCACTCGATGTGACACAGCCCTGTCCCCACAGGTGATGGGATCCCTTAAAATCATAGAATCATTAAGGTTGGAAAAGACCTCTAAGATCATTAATTCCAACCGTCACCCAACCCTACCACGCCTGCTAAACCATGTCCCGAAGTGCCACATCTGCATGGTTTTTGGGGATGGGGACTCCACCACTGCCCTGGGCAGCCTGGTCCAACGCCTGACTGTTATATTCAATATAAACCTCCCCTCATGCAACTTGAGGCTGTTTCCTCTTGTCCTATCGCTAGTTATTGGGGAGAACAGATCAACACCCGCCTCACTACAACCTCCTTTCAGGTAGCTGTAGAGATGATACCTGGACCCAGAAGAAGCACTGACACAGAAACAACACGCTATGAAGTTCTGAGCATTGTAACACAGGGCCAAGTATCACCCTGGCTGAAAAACATTGAGGATTAGAGCTGCTAAAGCAGCGGGAAGGCCTCCGAGTGTGACTAACAGGATTAGGCAACCGCCGAGCTGGGAAAGAAAAGATTTTGTTCAATAGCAACAGCAGCTCCAAAATATTTCATCTTCCAGTTCCAGAATGTTTTTATAGAATCATAGAACAGTTTGGGTTGGACGTTAAAGCTCATCTGGTTCCCCCTCCCCTGCCATGAGCAGGGACAT